GAGGGTATCCACATAAGCAAGAAAATAACATGCTTCAGGCCAAGTCCTTTGCAAAGAACAAGAATGATCAGGAAGGAACGCATCCAGGACCAAGAGGAACAATAAATCAGGGAAGCCTGAGCAGTGGAAGGGCAAAATCAGGAGGAAAGAAGTTGAAATCAAGATCACTTTAGGAGTGGATAAAATATAATACAAATCATTCCCTCATTGTGTGTTTCCTTATTAAATTACAGTAACAAACTCTTACAAAAACAATCTGTCTGATCAATACTTCATCAGCAAGGACCAACCTACTTAACCTCTGTTTTAAGTAAGAAGTGGGAAATTTTCTTTTGTCAGCCACTACACTCAATCTACATTGTTTTCCAGACTTAGACTGGTATTAATAAGGAAATGTGTCTCTTCCTTTTCCTCTAAGGAAACCCAGATTAGTGAGGCTGGGGCTGCAATCCTATTCTTTATTTCCCAGTTCTGCCTGTCCAGGTGGCCACACTTCCTTCTTGCAGGCAGAGTGACTCATAGCACCAAATTCCCTTTATTACCATCTCCCAGGATGCTCACTGAATATATGGTCATCAAAAGATGGTTATCAAAAAACAATCTAAGTGCTTTCAACTTGAAGCTGAAAGACTTTTAAGCCTTTCTGGATGAAAAAATACTGGTCATCAACATGAAAGTTCTTGTTCAGTGTGGATTCTGGCACTAACTTCAATCCATTTTAAGGAAAAAAAATCCAGACAAACCCCCACCATATATCCCCTTAGCTTCTAGCTTAGCTTCCTTCCCTGACATCTTGTTATGTAACAGACTTTGAGAGCAGCTGCCACCATGCCTTCAGAACAAAAAGCATTTAAGTTAGCAGAGCAGCAGCTGGGAGACACAGAAGTGAAGCAGGCAGCCACATGGCGTGACATGATATGGAAAAGTCACCCAGAAGCATCCCAAGTCTGCTTCTCAGACTTGAAAACTGGAGCAATGTGCAGAGGCAAAATTCATGGGTTGATGAAGGATAAGGAAAGGATAAAGGAAAAAACACAAGCATGCATTCACTATTTCAGAGGCAGGTGAAGCAGCTGCCTGACCTTGGGCTGGATGGTCAGTGTGGCAAGGCATTGGGAAAACACTCAAACCATCCAAGGCAAAAAGGAAAAGTCATTATCACAGTGTGATCAGAAGTGTTTTTTTTTTTTTTTTTTAATTCTATCTTTTATAGGAACCAAGCCCTGCATATTGGTGATTTATAGACCCTCTCTGCATCACTGTGATTATGTTACCTCTCACAGACACTTTACCTTCCTGTCTCTTATGTCAGCACAATTTAGAGTAATGACATCCTTAAGCATGTCAGGGATAAAATAACACAAAGACAGGAGACATCTGTAGGAATTAAACAATGCACTGCGACTTGAAAACCAAAGCAAACGTTTTGACAAGTTCTAAGAAACAGGCTGTCAGCCAAGAAAGCAACCTTTTATGGATTTTGCAGTGACCTTGAGGTTTCCCTGAGGAAACATGCTGTTCTGCACGTTGTTTGCATTTTGTGAAGTTAAGGGTGGCCTATCTACTCTTTCTAAGGCCACTTAACTCTGCTACCACACCCCAGCCTGCACTGTTTGGCTCCTGCCCTGCTCTGTCAGCACAACCCACCGTGCAACTGGGGCTTAAGCAGCCCCTGAGCCAGCTGTGCCAGGAGCTCCTGGGTCAGGCAAACATCCCTTCTGCTCCTGTGCATGGCAAACATTGCTTTTCTTCCTGGGGAAATCACAGCTTGGGCAGCAGCACTGCTGGCTCACTGCTTTCTGATCTGAGAGCGTCAGATTCTTAGAATCATAGAAGGGTTTGGATTGAAAGGGAGCTTTGAAGGCCATCCAGTCCAACCCCCCCTGCAAAGAGCAGGGACATCTTCCACTAGATCAGGTTGCTCAGACCCCATTCAGCCTTGAATGTTTCCAGGGATGGAGCATCCACCATCTCTCTTGGCAACCTGCTCTGGTGTTTTACCACTCTCATTGTAAAATACTTCTTCCTTACACATAATCTAAATTGACCCTCTTTTAGTTGAAAACTGTAATGCCAGCAACAAATTCCCAGGAGAAGGAACTACAGTCTCCCATCACTCAGGGTGAGTGAGGTATTGCAGAAACAAGACTTGCACCTTTGGCCAGCATCCAGGAGAAAGCTCTTCAGCAGCTATCACCAGCAACCATTTGTACCCTTGAGGAAATACAATGTTTATGTTGCAATCTCTGGAAATCACTGCCTATTGTATTTTACCAACAAATATAGCTCAGACAATGAGATCTAGTACACAATCCCATGGCACTCAGCTCCTCTAGGGATACAGTAGCATCGACACATCCTTTTAACTATATTCAAGTTTCTAATTACTACGCCTTTTAAGAAGAAAAGTGCAAGCTGCTGTCACGACAAACAAAAATTATTGTGGTTTCACAATTGATTTCAAAAGGCCACATGTATTAAAGAGTACCCTGGGTCACTGCTGCTTTTCCAGAGGAATTAGTCATACACCTAGAGTTCATGAATGATACTTCTCTCATTGATTTATAAAATCTCACAAGCACTGTGCTACAAATGAAGGGAATTATGTGGCCTTATGTTCAATTTGCTTTATTTGGCTTCTCATCAAGGGAAATACAGAAAACAAGACAGACAATGTATCACTAGAGCATGTAACTTTAGATAAAAAATAATTAAGCAACAAGCATGGCACAGACAATAATTGCAAAAATATAGAATACACTGTTTTAATTGACTGAACTAAACTGCAGCTGCTGTGGTCAAAAATGCTTTTGTAAATTTATCTAAAAAGTTTAGTTCAAAACCTTCCTTTAAAAAGAAAAATTACCCCAAAACACCCTAAAAGCCCCATGAACTCCCATTTTATGTCCAGAAATAAAGCAAAGTATAAATTAAAACTACTAAAAAGCCCAGCTTACAATGACGCATTTCTGGTATCCCAAACAAATAATTAAAAAAAAAGGACCAGTCAGTGTTTTTGTTGGATCAGATTTTTTTTTTTAATTAGAAAAAGTTAAATGTACAAATAAATAATTGATATTGAGCCTACAATAATAGAGCAAACATCACCCCTCATGTCCTCAGTAACACAAGCAGACAGACACACGAAAGTGTTTACCAAACTCTGGACAGGCCATGGCTCTAGAACCAGCAAAATACTTGTTCTGAACACTGAGTCCTAAGTTTTAAATCTCCATTGTTGATTTTTCAGCTTGACAGTCAGCACTCTTAGTAAACATATGACATAAAAGGCACAATCCAAAATGCTATGCACTCTGGTAAGAAGGAGTATTTCAGATGCACTAACATCCAAGCCAAAAGAAAAAAGAATACTGTAAGTGATCCTGATACAAACATTCAGACAGAAGGAAGAATGAGAAACACCTTAAACACTAGCACTCATCAGCTGAACAAAAAATCAGCAGAGGACCCCCTGCAGTCCTCTCATCTGTCTGTCCTGTCAGTAAAATGGGCCATAAGAAGGTGGACCCAGAGGTAGGCTTGTATTTAGTGATCTTTGCCATGTGGGGCAGGGGCAGAGCCCTGCAAAGGTGCTCAGATGCTGTCATGGTTTAACTCCAGCCAGCAGCTAAGCACCACTCAGCTACTTGCACAGTCCCCCAGGAGGGAAGGGGACAGTCAGAAAGGCAGCCTCATACTAACTTCTATCTAGAAATCAACTCTGTCCCAACCAAAACAAGCACAGAGGCAGAGGGCACCTGGAGCCTTCAACACCTCACAAAGATGAGGAGCTGCAGGGCAATGGCCAGGAGTGCTCAGCCCTCCTGAGCAGCCTCCTGCTGCCCAGCCAGAGGGGGTCAAGCACCTGGAACTTTAAGCCTGGAAATGACAAGATCAGCAGCTTGGGCTGGCAGTGATGAGCAACCTGGGATGGCGGGAGAGGAGCTCTACTCCAGCCTGGGAGAAGAGCAGAATTAGGTCTCAGCTCCTAAGAATAGTGCAATGTCTTTATCTGCTACCAAAGCAGGACAAACTCAGTTTCTGTAAGACCGCCAGCTGATATCATTGCAGCCACAGTAGTGACACAGGAGCTCAGCGTGTGACATCCTGCCCAGTGAGGTCCAGCCATGGAATAATGGCTTTTGGCCAGCAAAGCAGCTTATCTGTGTTTAAAAAGACACAATAAAAATGGATGAAGACAGAGAAGACTACTCTGAACTCTGAATACTCTAAGATGAGCACAAAAACTATTGACAAAATCCATGCCTTTTGACAGCTCAGCAAGGAGTACGACAGGCACAAAGCTTCCACTACTGGCCTTTGTTACCATCTCCTCCTAACTTATATATTTAACCCCACCACACACACCCCCAGAAAACACAGAAGAAAACACTCTAGGATTAGAAAAAAGTGAAATAAAGTAAATTATTTCTATATTGTACAAATTACTTACAATTCTTCTTTCCAAACTGTGGCTGCTACCGCCTTTATTTAGTCACCTGCTTGGAGACCTATTGCTCTTCCCCAACAAATCCTGTGTGGTTTGAGTCCTGTGATTTTGAGTCCAGAAGGTCTTTCCAGACAGAGAAAAAGGAGTTGGAACAACTGGATAAGAGAAGAAAAACCAGGTAACAGGAAGAGGGCAATGAACTCAGAGTTCTTGCAAGTGAAATTGCAGACAGATGTTGGCAAAAAATTAAATCCTTCTCTACTGCAAGAGCAATTAGACACTGAATGAGAATCCTGGGAGAATCTGCAGAGCTTTTATCCATGGACATTTTCAAAACTCAACTGGAATAGCACAAATACATTTTGCCCAGGAGCAATACCAAGAGTGGCATGGGCAAAGAAGGCTTTTTCTGACACAATCTCCTCCTCTGACCAAGTGATCCCTCCAGTTCTACATTTAAAGATTAAGGGCCTAGACCAGATAGCAAAGATCATTTCAGTGATCAATTCAGCTTCCAGATAGGACAGTATATATGATGTCTTCTTTTTTTGCTGCTTCTTTCCAGCCAGTCAAGTCACTACGTGTAATTTTGATTTCAGGCTGCTAGCTTCTAATGATCAGGTAGATGGAAATCCTCAAGGAGCCTAGAAAATACAAAAATAACCCCAGGAAAGGATAAGTCATTGTGTAGGTTGGATATTAGAAAAAAAATTTTTACTGAAAGAATAATAAAATACTGGAATTGTCTTCCTAGGGAGGTGGTGGAATCACCATCTCTGGATATGTTTAAAAAAAAGATTTGACTTGGCACTTGGTGCTATGGTCTAGTTGTGGTGTTAGGACATAGGTTGGACTCAATGATCTTAGAGGTCTCTTCCAACCTCATTATTCTGTGATTCTGTGATTCTGTGATTCTGTGTTGCTGTCTCAGGTTTTGCTTAGCAGTGTAGTTGCTGTTGGGACAGGAGGAAGAGAAATGCACAGTGGGGAGCAACAGTTACAAGCCCACCCTTTTGTGAAAAACTCTGCTTTTTTAATTCTGGAAATCACACACCCTGCAGAATTCAGAATAAGGTATATACAAAACCCTGAAAGGATTTGTAAACTGTGAAAAGTAAACCAACTTTCCTTACTAGTAATAATACACCAATAATTCATTAACACACATATATTGAGATATTTCAGAATATCTTTTGTATGTTTGAGATTCTTTCTGCAACTCTATTTTACATGACTTTGAAGGCAACAATAAAATATATGGCATCTCTACTTCTCATGTAGAGGAGTATGAAAGAGGTTCATTATCTAATAACCCTGCATTCAGACAAAGTATTTTGGAATTGAGTGTATGAATAATTCTTACAAGGAAGTGAATGAGAAATTAAAACAGTGAGGCAACTATTCACATATTACAGGAATAATTTGTTCTCCCTTTCAGCTGCCAGCCATTTCATTTTGTTGTATACAAAGCCCTATTGTTGGAATAAAAAGGAGAAGGAAGGACCAGAAAAATACTTCATAATGCCATATGATCACAAATATGATGCACGGGATAGGAATTGCACTAGTCACATTAGTGACTAGTACAATTAGTCACATTAGTGCACAGGATAGGAATGGTACTGGTCACTAGGCAAAAGCCTCCCTGCTTGCAAAGAAAAGGCTTTGTGTTCTAGTGGCATAGAGTCCTTTAGATGTGCAGGAGAAACTCCAAGATGTTTCCTACACCATTACCTTCATCCTGTCAGTAGCAAAACAGGATTTATTTCATCCTTCTAGACAAAAACCCCAGCCATGGCCCAGGAGACCAGAATTCACCGATGTGACCTCACCCTCCTTCCTCCTCCTGCCACTCCCCTTTCCTGACTTCTAAAAGTAAATCAGGATAAGGACCGTCTTTGTCCCAGCAAAACATGACTGGGAAAACAAACAAAACACCAGCCATCCCTGTCCTTCACAAAGAAAACAGCATGGAAAGCTTGCAAAGTGTGCCCATCCTTCCTCTATACATGATACAGACCACAGGGTACCGCCAGGTACATTTCTGTAAACAGAAAATTAGGTGGAATTACTAGGTAACAGGAGCTGTCTTAAAAAAGTGTGTGATTAAACCCAGAAAACATCTTCAATTGAGTTGCAAAATATTTATGTCTGCAGGAAACCTGATGGGCAGCCTGACAGCAGAATTACCCTTTCACTGAGATTTTTGTCATTTGGGTTGTTTGGTTTTTAATTCCTCCCCTCAGTAGCTCTGTTTAGGTCTGTTTGCCTATACTGTTTTTGTATAGTGGCATTTTTGGTTTTTGGGATTTTTGTTTGGTTGGCTTGGGTTTTTTTTTTTTTTTTTTTTTTTTTTTTGTTTAGTACTAAGAAGGGTAAAGGAATGAGGTTGTTGTATATTCACTGCAGAGTTTTTGCTATTTTTCACAAATTCAAAATAGGACAAATACAATCTCCTACTCTCATTAAAGCCACACTTGAGAGGAAACCAAGGCTATTTTAAAATGAGCCTCACCAGCTGGGATACAACAGCTAGAAACCCATTCCTCTGTGAGCAGAGAAGGATGTTATATGCATCTGCCTCAGGAAAGAGGGAGTTTTATCTTGAGTTTATAAGCTGAAAGTCTGGTATTTAGTGGGCTTTGTGTATTCTGAAAATTCTCCAAAACCCAAGCTGCTGTTATATTGTTCTCAACTACTGAGTCTCTCACTAATAAGAAAATCAGGTGTCAAAGCAAACACTGAAGAAACACTCCAAGTTGTAAGATAAAAGAAGAATTGTTGTAATTTTTACACTAGATCTTAGAAACAGAGCCTTCCTGAAAATACAGATTAGAGAATACTGCTATAATGACTCTTCAAAAACTAATTACTATCTTTACTATAAACAAAACAATGAAAAGTGTAACCAAGTACTTGTTCTTATAAAGTTTCCCAAAAACTGGAATTCCTGCATAGTACTTATTTCCCAGCCCTCCAGGACATATTTGGCCACCAAAAATTGGGTTTCTCACACCCACATATTACAGCTGATCAGCCAAGCTGTTATTTTACATTTACCAGACTTGATTCTATGCTATTTGTAGCAACTATCACATTCAAAAGGGAATCTTAAATCTTATCAAATTCAATCAGGGAATCTTAAATTCCTATTCAGGGTATTAAGTGATCTCCAGCTTGTAACAAAGAGGCATTTTTGACCTGTTTTGGAGTACTTGTCTAACATATTAAGCACCCTGAGGTTCAGCATTTCTTTGGAACACAGCTGGTTGTGTTCAGACACAAACAGAACTGTAGAATCACTAAGATTGGAAAAGACCTGCAAGATCACAAATTCCAACCTTTGACCAAACACCGCCCTGTCAAGTAAAACCACAGCACTAAGAGGCAAAGGCAATGCTGCTTACATCTGAGTTCCATAAAATCTCCACACTTCTGGAGATTCAGGAGAACCTGAATGTTTTGATTTGTAAACAGGAAAAACACACTGCTATTCTGCTGCTTTCTGCAGAATGGAATTTTTTGTTTGGTTTAGGATCTTCTTCTATGGCTCTTCAAGCTTTCTTCTTCCAGGTTAACCTATTCTGTTCAGTTTTCTTATCTATTCAGTATCATATCTACTCAGTTAGAAGCCCAATTTTTTCCCCTCTTTTTACAGTTTTTTTTTAAACACAAGTATATTATTTGTGAATTCTGTTATACTATTTGAATATTTCTGAAGCTTTTCACGTGGCAAAACCTGCATAAGCTACCCAAGAGAGATCAACGTACCAATTCCTAAAAACCAAATCAAACAAAAAATAAACCCATTCTGCCTTTATGTGTATTTGTGAAAAAGTAGTCCTTCCTTTCAGGCTACTACAAGCCTCCAAAAAAAACCCTGTATGCGTGGAATTTTATCCCCCTGCATACTGATACATCCTGAGAATTAACAATAAAGCTTTGTAATTGGCCAGGCTGAAATATGAGTATCCTGCAAGCCATGAAATAAGCAAGTGATGCTATAGAAAGCATTCAAGTGAAGACACATAAATGACAGGTAAGTCACAGGAATTTATGCAGGCTAATAGTCTTTATTTTGCTTCTACCCAGGCACTTGGCTTTTTAACTGGACTGCTTTATCTCAGTGTGATCTACAATTCAGCTCTATTAGCTGAGTAAGGAATGAAAGGATTTGACTTTTTATCAGATGAGCAGCATCAAGAAACTTCAGGCATGGCAGAATTTATGCCTGGTGATTTTTTGCACCCTGCTCACTGCACTTAAATCGAGTGATAGGCACAGTGGGGTTTGCCTGCCTACTTGGAAGAGGATGAGATGTGAGTTTTCCAAAGCTTGTGTGTCAGCATTTGCCACAAAAGATGCTCAGTTTGATTCCAAATAAGTCACTTATACACAAATGTTGTGACACTTCACTGAGGACATTTTCAGGGAGAACCAAAATGTATGTATGCTCTGTAACAGGTACACAAGGCAAATGCCTGAGGGATAGGGCATCAGCTTTCAGCCCCAGGTATCTACCATGAAGAGGAAGGGAACAACAAAAATAAAAGCAAAGCAAAACCTAACCATACTCTCAGAAGCAAAAGCACTTTGAAGAAACTTTGTCAGAGAAGGCTTCCCAGACACCCAGATAAAAAGTTACTGTTTTACTTTAAAAACTGAGCATCTTGATAAGCCTGGAAAGGCTGGGCTTGTTATCTAGTGCAGAATGAAAAGAAGTACTGAAGTCCCAGATAGACCCTGGTATTCTTGAGCCAGTGCTGTTAGCTCTCTACTGTTAGCTCTCTATTGTGCTGTTACAAACAACACTTCCAAAACTACATCCGTGGTGCTGTTTCTCATTCCATCAAGTCCCAGATCAATAGAGGGCAAAACCAGAAAAGGGATTTCTGCAAGATATTACTGCCTTTTGGGTGAATGACTGCAACCAAGGCCTAAACATATTTTACAGATGATCAAGGAAAAAAATAAGTCACCACAAAACCAGAGTAGGGTCCAAAGCTAAGAAGTTTAGGGGATTTCCTCATCATAGTACTTGTGGAGTGGTAACACACTGTAAATATAGTGTTAAAAATTACAGTAACTCCATTGATATTATTAGTATTCTAAGGTTGTCCAAGAAAGCAAAAGTGGAATGCTACACAAGATAAACTGTTAGTAACCCTTAGCCACCAAATAAGGCAAACTGTAGGCTCTGTTGCTGTGCATCACAGCAGTGCTCCACAGCAGTAAATCATGTTTTACATGACCCAAGTCATGGTGCAAGGATACACAAAATGGCTTGGGGGTTCCAAACCTGATACCTAGCGTGTGGTGTAGGGTGTAAGAAACCTGCTGCCTGCTGGGGATGTTCCTGTTACAAATTATTGCTGAACCCACATGACAGCATGATAGCAACCAGAAATTTTATCTTCCCAAATGTTTACAGGATGATGAAAGCCTCACATACATTTTACAATTGAGACATTATATCTGGGGTATTAATTTCTCTTTCTTCTCAGTGAAGACTTTTGTGTCTCTGGTAATAGCAGATTCATTAGGTCAAACTCTCTTAATAGTAGATGCTGTAGGTCTAAATGCACAATAGACAGGTGTAATACTCCTTGCAACATTTCCTTATATCATATTATTGCCCTGAAGCAGGTATATAGCCAGGAACTGAGTCAATATGTGCTGGTGTTTCTAAATATATTAGTGGAATTTAAAGCCAGACGTGGTATTTGGATTTAGTGAAACAACAGTGAAACCACCAACTACCATCAAATTTCTGTGATTTCTGAAGGTTATGGTGCCCCACTCATCACCCCCCGCCCCCAGTCGTTTTCTATTCATTATGATACTACTATTTTAGAGAGTTGAATCTATCCATGACCAGGTGGATAAGAGACTCAGAGACATTGCACTGACTGCAACTTCTCCTTAATTCATCATTAGAAGCACACTTGTGCCAAATTTGGGCACACTTCTTCATCATATTACCCTGTTTGTCTTAAAAAATAGAAAGATGGTGCTGTGACTAGTAGAAAATTACTTTCCCTGAAGGGACATCACTCTGCATGAGTGGGTTCCTCACCAATGTTTACTTCATCTGCCAAAAATTATCTGGGCATGATACACTTCGTAGGCTTCCAGGAAAATGTGAAAGATGAGTGAATTACTTCTGAGTCTGCTACTTTCAAGCAGACCAAGAGCAGCATGTTCTGCTCTGCTTGGATCCTTCCCTCACAATTCTCAGACTTGGATTGTCCTTTGGCAGTGGAAAAACAGCTCTAAAACTTACACGCAACCGAGTTTTTTACTCAAAAACTGTAAACATATTACTGCTATTATTTATTGAGTTGTCCAGCATGACACACCCATAACACACAAAACCAACACGTTTTGTTCTTCTCTGCAGATGATTATTATTATGGGCTCTGGGAAAACTGCGTTGGTAACTCACCACTCACCACCTCAACTCCTCCTGCATACGATCTTCCTCCAGAACAGCATAATCAGAATAAGAACTGTGATGACTGCTAAAATCACCACAACAATCACCAGCCAAAGCAGTGACGATCCCTCTTCTGTGAAAACAAAACAACAAAATGTCCACAGCAAATTAATCTCACTGCGAAAAAAAGCACCACAAGCCACAAGGATGTCTGATTAAATGACAGCAATTGTTCCAATCTGGTTAAAGGTACTGCTAAGATAAATGAAAGCAGCAATTGCTCAAAAGAGAAAAGAAACCTCTGTATCTCCAAAAACAAAGCTACTTGTCCACAGAAAATGTGAAGAAAAGATGACAGAGAACACTGCCATTCCTATACCTGATACACACATAAGCAGAACTTCATACAAATATTAACACTTTCAGAAGAGTTTTTTTGTTTACCCAGAAACAGTTAGCACTGTTGAAAAGGCAACATTAATTTCAAGAAAAGAAGACACGCTATGCTTTGCTATCCAAAAATAGCTCTACCCAACATCTGAGTGCAAACGTTCCTCCCTGGTGAGACATTACCACTTCATTTGACTGCTCTTAAAAAGGCTCATTTCAATGTTCACTGACATTGGCTGGAAGACTGCATGACTTGAAATTTATTTGACTCAAGCCAAAACTATAATGTCTTTTAACAAAGATATGTTGAACTATTCATTTGAACTTCTTGTCCTCTAAAATAGAAGACCGTTAAAACAACAAGCTGTTACCTGATTTTTTAACCACTTAGCAAGAAATAACAAGTCTTAGTTTTCTGCTTTCTGAGATATGCATATGCTTTTTTAAAGACCAAAACAAAAGAATACTGGAGACAGGACAAAAAGATTAGTATGCTTTTTCAGAATTGTAATGTGATTCAGAATTAAGAACTAAATTGCTTTTGAATGTTTAGGGAGAAGATTTTAAAAATCAGATCCTGCTCTTTACTACTATTCCTGTAACAATCACTTCTTGAGCATGTAATTTCAGAATCAACCTACAGCTGCAATCTGCCTTTCCTATCTTGCTAATTTACAAGTAGTTTTCAGTTTAAGGCTCTGGATACAGAGACATGTGAATTTTAAATCATTCAAGTCAATGCTGCCTGTATGAACTAAAAATGGTACTTCAGATTTTAATGTTTCTGCTCCTTATCTGCAGAAACAGGGTGAAAGTTCTTCCAGCAAAAAAGAATATTGGAAGAAGAAATAAATAACACTACAAGATATTCAGATGTTACATTAATATATCTAAGGTTTCTGTATAAACCAAATATAAGTATCTTCAACTGACCCCCTCCCTGTATGCCTGAAAATATTGTTCCTCTCTGGCCATTACTGCAGTGGACGTGTGCCTTGGCCATAAGTCAGAGAAACTAAAACATCATGTACAGGTTGAATACAATAAAGCACGCAGTAACTTGAACTGAAACATTTGTTTCAGTGACAGTTTGTTATGAATTTCAAAATTTCTGAGTTCATCAAGCAACCCACAGAGTTTCTACTCATCTGGATATCAGCTGAAATATTTAGATTTATTTTTAAGCTGTTAAAAAAATATGAAGGTCTACATGGAAACCTAAGTTCAGCTTTCTGCAAAATGCACAGTGCCTCTAAACCCCGTATCTCCTTAGCTGATTAGTCTGGCTTTTTTCCCTTCTTGGACAGGACTCCAATGTATTACCTCAAAGACAACAGTGGACGCAAATAAATCCTGACATATAAACATCCCATTCCCTCCTCTTCCCAGAAGATTCCTATCCAATTATGCTACTGCAAAACACAGAAGCCACGAGAATGCTAACAAGTTGCTTGTACTGCTCACCTACCTCCTTTTATTTTCACAGGCAATTCAAATGTTTCATTTGTGTTGCTAACTCTGCAGATCAAATCCTGTGCACTGATGCTCTGATTGTAGATTTCCAGTTTACTGGTGATGGACACGATCCCATTTTTGTGCTTGACTGTCTTCTGTGTAGGAGTAGAATTGAACAGGTTGTTCCAGGTGATGGTGGGCTCTGGGAGGCCATTAGCAATACAGATGACTATCAAATGATCTTCAGAAATGTTGTGATGGACAGATGCATTGAGACCTTCCAACACACAAATGAGACAAGTCATCACCACAGTGAGCACCTGGTTTTAAGCAGCAGTAGCAGCCTAACCATTAAAAATCAGAGCAAAACTTACTGGATTCACACTGAGCCCAATGGCAAGGAATGCAGGAAGAGTTCCCTGGGTCAGGACCCCTCCATGACTCAATACTCCTTCCCCCATACTGAAGTTATATACCTCAAAGATTTCACTCAATCTGAAATCTAAGTATTAAAATAATCTGCTAAGTAAAATAATTTATTGGTCCTATCTGCTAATACCCTATCAATGGTAGGGTTTGGCAGAGCAGCTCGCAGCACTGGAGTCATACCTTGCACCAAAAGAATACTCCAATGGGCAATGTTGGTTTGCCCAAGTTCCAGCTGGGGCTGATCAAGGACTTAGAAAAATTCCACTCCTTGCTTTTCAGCTGCTACTCAAGGAGTAACAAAGAAGAGCCAAAACAACCACAACAGTCTTGAATACGACCCACAGAATTTTGCTCACAGCAGTAGTGCTCTGTTTCTACATCATGCTCCACCAAGGGATGCTCCTATCACTGCAATTCTTGAATCTGCTCAAGGAAATACTGTGGGTGAGAAAAACACCTCTTATTTCACTAGAGACATATCCCTGCAGAGGACCTCACCAAAAACACTCAGGCAGGTATTTCCCGAGAGAGGGCCAGAAGGGAAAATGTTGAAGAGACACTTGTAACATCCCGAATCATCCATTCTAGTGTCCCAAAAAGTTATGCTTGTCTTGCTGAGCTCCAAAGTTGTGAAATTCAATCTGTCTTCATAGGGCTCCTGAATCTTGAATCCATTTGTTTCACTGTATGTAGCTATATTATCATGTGATTCTTCTGAGTCCTTTTGCCATGTCACTTGCAGAACCTCCATGGGTTCTGTCAGGGCACAGCTCAGAGTCACACTATCACCCATCCTCACTTTTTTGTGTCCAGCCTGTGGAATCACTGCAATGACAGTAAATGGTTAATGAAATGGGCAGAGATCACACATATTCAGAAGACTAATGTTGATTCTAAAGCCTGGATTACCCACAGACACAACTCCTCCAGTTACATACTATTTCTATAGCTTTCCCTGCAAAAAAGTCCATCTCCTACATACTCCTAGGAATCAGCGAAAGAATCAATGTTGATTTGCACTGTCTGAGGCTTTAGCTTTCTTCTAAGCTACTTAAAAGACAAAAATACTTACATATTTCTGTACCCATATCTGCAGACTTCTTTTTAAGTTTTACTAAATCAGCTCATGACTTCCTATTCTCAGCAAATACTCAATTTTTGTTTCCTAAGAGCTAGAGGAAGATGGAATGCATAAGAGAAGTACACACCAAGCCATTACAAGAGAAGTAAACAGCAAAATGCCTTGGAAAAAGAAAAAAAAAAAAAAAAAGGCAGCAAAAGGCTTTCTGAACTGTAGTTTCAGAGTTCACAGTGCATTTGAGACGGAGGGAAGGAAGTCCTTTTGGGATACCCCACTCTTGGAAGCTGTCCACTCAGGTTAACAATGGTGTCCAGTGTCATTGTAGATATGGGATGCTTCTTGTCCTTCCCATCTCTAAATGCTGCTCCAGGAGGATTTGTGTCCCAGCTACCAGCTCCATGTCTCTGTCTCAGCATCAGCAATTTTTATTTCACCTATTTTTGTCTCTGTTGAAGTCTCAGAAACCTGAAACCAGTTCCCCAAACAATTTCAAGCACATTTCAGAAAATTCAACTTACCATTTGGCTTTCCAAGCCCAGAATATGCCAAACACAAAACCAGAGCTCTTAAAATCATTCTGGAAGAGAAAATCTGCTTCACCTAAAGAAAGACAAGGAGAGATGAGAGATCATTTTCTGGTGATATTGTACATTCAGGGTGCAAAAATTAAAAGATTTTTTCATGTGAAAAAGAATGTAGTTCTGGGGTCAGACAGCAAGACTTGAAAAGTTTTATTGCCCTGTTTCCTACAACTGAATCGTAGACCTGCCTGGAACTGAAGTTTGTGTTCTATTCAAGAAACATAATTTTACAAAAAATACCTCTGTAACACACTCTATCCACTGCTGAGTTTTTTTTGCCAATGCCTGCAAAATTAGCTGAAGTATCCTGGGACCATTTTCTGTCAAGAATTTAGGGAAAGCCCAACCTTTCAAAGATTTTCACAATGTGCAAAGAATACAAGAGACAATCAACAGAGAAGCATTTTTTGTATTATACAGGCTAAAAAAGAAGGGCTGGTAAATAAATCAATAATTAAGAGGAATAAAAAAAAGTACTTAAATTGCCAGCAGACTTGCGTACACACTGCATACACCCACAACCAGTAGCCTGCCTTTAAATTTTAAACACAATGTGCTAAAACAACTCCTGCTATAACTCTCCAGTTACCAAGAACAAATAGAGACCAAGTGTGTAGAATCAGGAAACAAGAACATATCAGCAATAAACCAAGTGAAAAAGTTTGTGCAGTCAGATATTTGAGCACAGCTATAAGAAATTCAGAGCTAGAAGAACCTCCTAGAAGCATGCAGAATTCAAGAGCCAGCATAGCAAGCAGAAACTATCGAGTCACAGAGATGTTTATAAAGCAGTGGAAGTTATACCGCACCTGCAGGCAATCAGAGTTTTCGGCAACAATCCTTCGCTTCGCTGCTTTAGTACCCATTAAAGCACATTGCGCACACCCGGGGCAGCTACCAAGAATTCATACAATGAGGAACGAGGCTATACCTTGTAGCTATCCCGGGCACAGAAAGAAAAAAGTCCCTTTTGGTCACAACTCCAATCACGGGTGCTGCAGAGGGTGGGGAAACAAAACCCAAAACCAACAGAAGAAGAAGGGAAATAAAAAAAAAAATAAAGGCGTTAAAGACTGGGGCAAGTAAAGCGCAAATCGAAACTTTCCCGCACCTCGGAGCTCCTGAGCCGCTCCCTGCACAAACCGCCCCACAAGTTTCCGGGACCTTCTCTTAACTTCAAAGAAACTTCCCCTGCTGGACTCACACAGGGGCCCGAAGGCGGCTGAAGTCTGTCCCCAGTAGGAAGGAAGGCGGAAGGAGGATTCCCGAGCGGCGGGCAGTGGCCGCCGCCTCCCATCCCGAGCGCGTCCCGCTCCCGGCGGCGCTGTCCG